GATGGGCGGTGGAGAAATCCAATAAATAAAAATAAATATTAAGTAGGAAAGACATAAAGAAGCATTATTTCAATTCCAAGAAAGTAAAATCACAATGAAAGACCAAAGAGGGAAAATTCATTCTTACCAACATGTCCAAATAGTTTGTATGGGTTTGTATGTTATGTCTATCTTCCACTGCAACCTTCTTAAAATTCTTCAATTTCACTGGAACTTTCTTTGCTACTTTGAAAAATGGTTCCATCCACTCTACACATTCTGCAATACTAGCCCAATCCAATCCTAAAAACAAAAAAATATTTTTTTTTACTGTAGCTGAAATGCTTGAATACTTGACATCTCTAATACACAAATGTTGTCTCAGAGCTTCCTGGTTGTCTTTTACTTCTGTCAACTTGCAAGGCTGGAAGAAACTTCTTCTAGCCTTTACAAGTGCTGGAGAACGCTAAGAGGAGAATGTTGCCTCACACACAGTCTTCCCATAGCAATCTCTAGCACTTACCAAAATCTAGTCCTGCAACACTCCCAAACTTCTCTTCACTATTAAAAGCAAAGGATCCAAAGCAGCATGAAGGGTGAGCAGCATGTCATTGAAGTGAAGCACCCACTGAAGATGTGAATAATTCTTTTACATAAACTGTATTTGCATATATTTTATTGTAACAGTAGAGGAAGTAAGTCATCAGAATTGAAACACAATTGGACAATTGTGACTCTTATATAACTCTCATATTCTGACAACCTAGGATAATAGAATAAAACACTTCTTATTCCATTGTTAGTCATATTTACTTGAGACTAAGTCCTGGTGGATTTTAATATGAATCATATTATTCATAGCAGCAGACTCATCTAATGAGTGCTAAAAAGATTACAGGCAAAATGGCACAACTGAGAAAAGTGTTACACAGGAAAACTCCAATACTTGCAAGCATTTTAAAAATCAAACTAAGAGGTCAAAAATTGTCTTCTGAGAACTGAATATAATTGCAAACGTGAATCAAATTGTAATTGAAAATGAAAGGGGAGGGAGGGAGAATGGCAGAAAGAAGCATGGTTTTGCTCTCTGTATGCTCTAAATCAGTGTTTCTCAACCTTGGCAACTTTAAGAGTTGTCTGGACTTCACCTCCCAGAATTCCCCAGCCATGCTGGCTGGGGA